CCAAGAAACCGGGCATAGCTTCCCTCTTGTTCTGCTTATTAATAACCAGGCACCATCTCGATACATGTCAGTTTTCGATTTCTCAATAAACACTGTCATATAAGATTCGTAAAAAATAACATCACATCTCTTCAAATTGAGAATCTCAGCAGATCTCAAAAAGCCGGCATAAGCAACTAAACTGATAGCAACAATCCGAATATCCTTCAAGCAATCGCTGTGTTGCTTTACATCAACCAATTTCTCTAAAATATCTACTGTAATGGGAGACACCGCCCCAATTTGCTCGCTAGGTGGCGCAAATGTACTAGTGGTTATAAGGCACAACCGGAAGTCAGCTTTCAAAGTGGTTCGTATCGAAGATTCACTCGACCGTTATCAGCTATGCCAAGATATTGCTCTGTTCCGGGTTGTAAAAATAAGATTGGAGGACATAAATACCCTTCAGACCCTGACCTGCAACAAAAGTGGCGCGTGGCGGTAAGAAGAGTTGATGTTCCAACAAAGAATCTGTGGAAGCCAGGGACAGGCGACGTAGTCTGTAGAGCTCACTTCACTGATGATGATTTCGTGGATACACTATTAGGTTCGTAAAAACAGTAGGGCTGAAACGATATCCCGGGACACCGATGAATCGCGATTCACTCCATACGATACGGTGTGCGATTTGTGAGGTGCTGTATCTCGACTTTTCACGATACGTTTTTTCAAAGACGTATATACGTACGTCTTTTTTTGTAAATAAACTTTTATCACAGATACGTTTTAAATTTGTTTTAACTCTTTCAACACCGCAGGCCGGTAAACGGCCAAGAAGCATTAGTCACGTCAAAATAGTATATATTTTTATGGACCTACCTGTCATACCATTCATTTATTAAATCTATCACATCTCACAATGTCTGAAATACGTATTCTATTTCAATTTATGAAAATGAATCATTTTTTTTATCGATAGATTAAAAAGTTATTCACTATTTCCCGCAATGTTATTGAAAATATAATTCTCGGATGCACATCGAACATGTCAAAGAGCAAAACAAAGACGTTTCAAGCCAATCTTTAAATATATATACAAAGTGATAAATAAAATCAACAAAAAAATATCTAAAAGTGGTCAAACTTACAGCTAGCTTATTATTTCCATCTTTTCATGCGATCGCGTGTGATGTTAGTCAAATGACATCTCGGCTTTCGTCGCATCGAATTCTCGGCTCGGACACTATGTTCAATGCCAAAATATATGCATGAAAAATCTTTTCACAGCTTGTAACCTAGCATAAAACATCCACGAAACTCCTTTTTTTTATTATAGATTGCGATTTCCTGCTCTAAACGTTCAGAATAACACGATTTAACCAAAATATTTCGTAAAAATATGAAAGTCATCGTACACGAGGATTTGTAATTTGATTGCCTGTCTCAGGTCACGTGCTCAAATTTGACCAATCATGAACCTTGTAGCAGATTTCGGCAAGAAAGCGTTATTAGAAACCGTTTTATCCAATGAAATCTTATGTTATAGCTACGAAAAAGACAAAGGCAATGTTACGAGCGTGAAGGTGAAAAAACAAGCTTTCTAGCGATGTGTCATATGTCAGTCCTCGACAAACGTGTTATTCATACGAAGCTTTCGAAAACGGAGGTATTTCTCCATGTTACTGAGCGGACAGCCGCTGTTATCTGGAAATGAGTGAAAACAGATTCTATTCATAATTCTTTTTAAAATAATTTTCCAATTACGTATACAATGAAAATAAAAAAGAAATAAGTAGATTTTTTGAAATCTTAAATTTGTCCCAAATCGTCAAATTTTCGCTTCCTTGGTCTTTAATCTGGACGTTATGAATGTGTTAGCTTACATTTTTTTATTTACAACGAACTTAATTAAGTTGTAAATGCATTATTTAAATAATGTGATAAACATAACTTTCATATTTATAAACACTAGGATTAGACCTTTCAAATGGTGTATAACATGGCTGTTGCTATAATTGTTTTTAATTGTTTTTTTGCCTTTATTCACGAAAATGGCAAATCATTAGTTACTGGACACTGGTACATTTAGTATTTACTCCTAGAATCTACCATCTAATCCCAACTCACAAATATGTAGGACTGTTACTTTTGTGTTTGCAGCCATTACATGGAAATGGCAGATGATTCATTAAGTTAAAATACTCATTACAGTATATATTTTATGACTCATGAACATTCATCACTTTCATTTAATTTTTCATTTTAATAAACTAAGTTTAATTCATTTATCTCTTGTCTTCTCTTGTCACTATGTGTATCGTAGCGTATCGAGATACGTATCGAATCGTGATGTAAGTATCGAGATACATATCGTATCGTGACCTAGGTTTATCGTTGCAGCCCTACATGTTAGTGTGTATGTGGTTGTTTTCACAAGTCCGGACTTATGCCGGTTTTCCAGTGTGAAGAGAACATTTGGCTTATCTTGTCAAATAACGTTTATCAAACTTGGTGACCTGATGAGGTGTTTTTTAATGCTATTCGATAAGATTATATAAGCCAAGTAATCTCTGTGCAATCTTTCTTAAAGAATATGCCTCTTGAAATAAGCGTATACCTAGCTATTGCTTTGGAAAACAAGGGAGAGAAATATTAATCTTGTTTGTTTGTTGTTTAACGCCGCACTCAACAATATTCCAGCTATATGACGGCTGTTACTCTTGAAATATATGTACACTTATGTTAAATCACATTATAAACGATAAAATTACAATTACTCTGGAAATATATGTACACCTATGTTTAATTAAATTATAGACGACAAAACGTTCCTCTTGAAATACACGTACGCCTATATTTAAATACATCATAAACGACAAAATTGTACCCCTGAAATATATATATGCGCTATGTTTAATTAAATAATAAATGCCAAAAATGCAAGTTGTTGCTATGTAATTCTTTTACATATGTTTGAAAAATGTTAAACTGATAGTGAACCCAAATATTCATTTTACCCTAATATATGATCTCCTGTAGTATGACCACAACGATAACACCGATATATTGTGTATATGAGGTCTCTCGCTGTCGATTTCAGATTCCAAGAATTATCTCCCTTTCACGACTAAACTCCTGCTGTGAGCAATATCAATTTCTTGGTCAGGAAGCTAGCTGGAGTTGGCCCCCTTATAATATGTAGCGACGCCTTCATTCGTGACCAACTCGTGCTATTCCGAGACAAGCCGAATAGCGACTCGTGTTCCTCTCGTGGCCATTCTTGCGACTGCATTCCGTCAAAGCGCAATAGGGCATACCTAAAACAATAGTCAACTCGTTGCGTAATGTTTCACGTATAATTCCCCCATATATCATATATATTCCAGATACTATTGAAAACACACTGAGACTTACGGTATTATACGGTATGATTGAACACATTTAACTGTATTAGGTATATTTTAACTCAAGACATATGTAAAATATAAATATATTCCTTTAGGGATTCTTTGACCAAAGTACTTGAAGTGATACGCGCATGCTGATTGGTTTGTTGTATTTTCGCACATAACATTCAACGATAGGGGACGAGTTCTTGCAGGTGACGGAGAGGAACGAGTGGTCCAGTCGTCTAAGGCGCCGCGAATCGCTGTGCAGAGTTGCGTCCCTTGAGCACGCCAGAAACCTACGATTTAGGGTTCGAATCCCGGTTCGCCCCAATTATGTTTCTAGGTTTGTCAGGACCGTACCCGTGCTCGTGGGTTTCAGCGAAGTGGTAAACGTCTGAGACCTGCATCGCTTTGGGCTTTCCTCCCACATTAAGCTGACAAGCCGTGATATAACTTGAATACTGTTAAAAGCGGCGTTAAACCCAACTCACTCACACTCACTCACTCCAATGAAAATTGCTGCACATTCCAATGATACAATCAGAAGCAGCCCATGACCACGTCGCAAGGTCCATTGTCTATTTGTATTTAAAGGTGGCTAACTCTGTGATATCCATATATATCTGTGAATCACCTTGGATACTGACTAAATATTATGACAACTGCACAGTTAGACAATGAACGTCGGACGTTTGTCATTTCCCATTAGACATTAATGAAATACACACATTGATAATGTTGATGATTCTGCCTCATGGAATATTACACATCAATCCATTATACTTTTGAAATTCATGATACAGCTGTGTGCATTGACTTTACCTCACTATGTTCTGTTATGCTTCCTGAAAGTTAGGGGCGGTCGGGTAGCCTAGTGGTTAAAGCGTTCGCTCGTCACGCCGAAGACCCGGGTTCGATTCCCGACATGGGTACAATGTGTGAAGCCCATTTCTGGTGTCCCCCGCCGTGATATTGCTGGAATATTGCTAAAAGCGGCGTAAAACCATACTCAGTCAGTCCTGAAAGTTATTATAGGGGCGACATTGTTTGACAGGCATTTCTTAGACGTTGACGGTAGACAAAGGAGTCTTGTTGACAACAGTATAAGGATATATACCGAAACCTTGCTATAAGAGTATATCAAAGAATTTGTTATCCATAAACTGTGTCTATTTTGTCCAAGGATGTGTTGAAACATATCACGTGTACGACTGAATAACTCATAGGACTTTTGCATTGTCTCAGATTTGTCCTGGCGTGGATCTGACGTCACGTGTCCTCTGACATTGGAAGATGATGTGGCTTTGGTATGGGAGATTTCGAATTCCCGTGAAGATGACACTGACAAAACGTGTACATTCGCTAAAATGCTTAAATTGTGTACACTGTACTTATAGTAAATACCTTTTTTGATATACGGATATTTTTTTAGAAAAATAACTGTAGTAACATGTAGGTGCGAAAACATATAAAGACATTTTAGATTTGTTTCCACATATGGAGTGTTTGTTTCTCTATTAAACGTACCTCGTCATTTGTTATATTCAAACGTATTGTTGTTGTTTTTTTAGAATTATGTTTCAACTTTTCAAGTTTAGGGTTAGCTTAATATGTTTTGAAAACAACAACGCAGTCATTTTATTTTGTTTAATGATAAACACCATTTAAAGGATACAGCACTGTGAATCTAACTGATAACGTTTCAGCAACAACTTGTTGCACACAAACAGGGGAAAGTGGAACCAATATATACACACATAGATTAAACAAAATGTATGAGTAACTTTTTAAGAAGGAACATGCCTATAATACCAGTTTAAGAAGAATCTAGTTCTTCATTGTCAGTGATGGTTTTACATATATTTGTAATTCTTTTGACATAAGCAGGAATTGTTTTTCATCCAGTGTTATACACAAACAACCTTAATATGATACACGTATCAAACTGTAATACATTACACAGCATTAATAACAATAATAAGATATTAAAGATGGGTGAAATAAAAAAACAATACCAATTTGTCTATAATTTGTATTCATAATTTATTATTACTTTTGTGATGACAATTTTTGTGGATCCTTGTCTACGAGGTACTTCAATTCAATTATGATACGAAGGAACAGAAACAGAATCAAGTGATGCTTTGTTTTGAAGGGTCACATGGCTTACAGTTGTGTAACGTAAGATCTGATTGTTCACACAATATTTACAACATGGTTTCAAGCAAACATATTTTGTCATGTAGAATTCTCTTTGACACTTAATCACAACTACTTCTGCAGGGTTTACTTATATCGAACAACATGCTTATGATATACATACGACACCTGTGATAGTTAGAAATCCCTAATACGAAATATTAACCAATAAGCGAAAAAGAAATAGAAACATGTTACTAACAGTTATATTCCAATATAAAATATATAGAGATGAAGAAAGCGTTTTGTCTTTGGGGATGCATGTACAAAATATACACAGCAGCTTATTTACCAACTGCTACTATCCATTCCATTCACTACACCGCAATATGAAATTGACCTATATTTCAAACGTGAAATATTTCAAATATTTCAGCCTCCATTATCTGCTGAAACAGATTCAGCTGGGTGTAAAAGGCAAAATAGTGGTAAAAAGAATGTTTAACATCTTTGAACTCAACTTAACTGATGTCACGAACAAGAGTTGGAGCTTTTCATCGATAGCAATTTCGTTATTGTTTATCGGGATATTTCAGGAACAATTTCTTGCACCTTCATCAGGTCATGTTTTTAACCATACAAACGTTCCTGCTTTCATGTTAAACTTGTAATGTAGTTGATAAACTATGCTACCCTAAGACATCCAAAGCCAGAATACTTTTTTCGCGTGATATAATCCTCAAAATAACTTTAATCATCTGAAAGGCTACGGTAGGACGTCCTGTTTCGTAAATACTGTTCAAGGTTACTTGGTTGTTTAACGCCGCACCCAGCAATATTCCATCTATATGACGGCGGTCTGGAAATAATCGAGTCTGGACCAGACAATTAAGTTATTAATGTCATGAGCATCGATCCACGCAATTTGGATCAATGACATGCATCAACCAAGTCAGAGACCACCCGATCCCGTTAGTCGCCTCTTACGACAAGCATAGTCACCTTTTACTTAAGGTTACTACTTTCGCATTAATAGTTACTGTTAGGAATTGTGTCATGTTATAACACCATAATAATGATTGTCAGGTTTCGTTTGTTGTTTAACGAACAATATTCAAGCAATAAATAATTCAGCAATATTCTAGCTATATGACAGTGGTCTGAAATAATCGAATCGGACCAGTCAATTCAGTGATCGACATCAAGAGCAACTATATACGCAATTTGGATACAATGACATACATCAACCAAGTCAGCGAGCCTGACCATCCGATCTCGTTAGTCTGCTCTTATGACATGCATGGGTTGCTGAAGACCTATTCTAACTCAAATCTTCACGAGGGAAGACAAGCATGGGTTGCTGAAGACCTATTCTAACTCGGACTTTCACTTTGATGGTCAGGTTATGTCTCGTCTAATCGTATTGGAACAGCTTGGGTTTTGTGTCATTTTATCATATTTGAATAGTGAGTGTTGGCTTTGTGTCATGTTAAAAAACTAAAGTAGCAATAATTTACACTCAACAACTGCACTCAAAAAAGAGTGTGTTCACAGAAGTGTTCATGGCGACATTTCATTACAACGAACATAGGTATCCTGGTGGTTTCAAATAAGATGTCATTCCAATTTTCAAACCGGGTAGACGGTCATCCTTAAACGATGCGCTACATCTGGACTCTTTGAACGTTATGTTTGGTCACAAACACATTTGAAATCCCATTTAGTAGAATGACAAAGCATACGATAATTATGTCCACATTTTAGTTTTACATTGACGATTTGTTCACACTTTTCCATGCAGCCATTTCGTGTACAGTCTCCACAAACCCCTCTGCATGAATGGCCACAGGAAAGATGTCGTGCACAAGGCTTCATGCACTTCATCTGTAAAGTTGACTTGTGGCATTCACTTTCAATAACGTGTCCACATGGAAGTGTCTCTTTCGTTGTAACAGCTACAGTTTTGCATGCACTTGTGTCCACAAGTCAGATCTTGCTCGCATTTACGAGAGCATTTGTAGTTTTTCTTTGAGTCTCGGCAATGCATACGACAATTATGTCCACATTTTAGTTTTACATTGACGATTTGTTCACACTTTTCCATGCAGCCATTTCGTGTACAGTCTCCACAAACCCCTCTGCATGAATGACCACAGGAAAGATGTTGTGCACAAGGCTTCATGCACTTCATCTGTAAAGTTGACTTGTGGCATTCACTTTCAATAACATGTCCACACGGAAGTGTCTCTTTCGTTGTAACAGCACACTTCTTGACATGACCCAAAAGACTGCATTGGCTACAGTTTTGCATGCACTTGTGTCCACAAGTCAGATTTTGCTCGCATTTATGAGAGCATTTGTAGTTTTTCTTTGAGTCTCGGCAATGCATACGACAATTATGTCCACATTTTAGTTTTACATTGACGATTTGTTCACACTTTTCCATGCAGCCATTTCGTGTACAGTCTCCACAAACCCCTCTGCATGAATGACCACAGGAAAGATGCCGTGCACAAGGCTTCATGCACTTCATGTGGCCAGACTGTACATTTTTACATTCTCCACAAATACCAGCGCATCTGTGCCTGCATGGCAGAACCACCATGCACAATTTGCTACACTTCCAAAGTGAAGGATCTGAGTCACACTGCATTTCTTTTGTATGACCACATTTAGGTATTGTCTTTCTTACCATGTTAGTGCATTTACATTTTTGAAAGCATCTCTTCAAACATCTTTGTCCACATTTGTCACATAGCCTTTTGCATGGTTTCTGACATTTATGCTCTCTATGTTCCATGTCATTTACATGACAAATTTCATCACACTTGTGACCACACATGAGACTGACACCACAACTCTTTGTGCATCCGCCTCTGGGAGCCTTGTTAAAGTCACTAGCAGATGAGACTGACACTGTTATCTCCGGGTGGTTCCTGCACCTCAGAAGCAGGACTGGACCAATGGAGTTTGTTGATCGTAGCGTCTGTACAATACTGGCCCACAGTGGGCTTTTTTCTGCAAATAGAGTAAAATCCCCAAAAGCAAACATTCCTTCCTTTGCTCGTGAGAGTGCAACACAAATCCTATTGTCAATACTCAAGAATCCAACAGATCCTTCCTCATTGCTGCGGACAAATGACAAAAGGATAATCTTGCATTCTTCTCCTTGAAAATTGTCAACAGAAGTCAAACGCACATCTAGGAAGAGGTCATTCTCCTTTCCCATGAGTCTCTTGATTAATGAAATTTGTCCTGTGTAAGCAGCAAGTATTGTTATGTCTGATGCTTCATAGCCCTGGAGCAGAAAGTACTTGCACAAGGCTATGATGAAAGATGCTTCATGCTCATTTGACTTACTCATAGTCTCATTCAGATGGTGTTCCCTGTGCTGGTGGGAAAGGAAAAACACGTTCTTGTCAACACCACGTATAGAGTTAAAGTTTGTAACAGAGGTATGGTCCTTCAATGTTGGGTAAATGTGTTTCATTAGGACAGATATCTCCGGTCTCATTCTGTGTTGGAATTCTAAAGTCACATGATGTAACCCATTCTTCACCAACCTTTCAAACAGCGATATGTCAAGATGGTATTTCCTCGCCAGTTCATAGACGGTAGGGTTTGGTCTGAGTTGTTGGTGGTCTCCTATGAGAATGAGGTGTTGGCACTCAGTGTTGAGGGCAGTGATTATGTGGGACTCCAGGACTTCAGCAGCCTCCTCTACTACGACAATACGAGGCGCTACAGCTTCAAGAAGAGCTGCATGTTTAGCAGCTCCTGTAGTTGTCATTCCAATGATGTCTGCTTGAGAGAGAATATCTTTATACTCTTCCCTCAAGACTTCCTTCCGCCTCTTTGCTAATTGTCTGTATTCCTGTTCTTTATCTTTGATGGATGATTTGCAATAAAGCTGATACCTTGTCACCCATGTCTTGTACAGTGATTCCCGGTCATTCATATTCAGATCCCACACATCCCTGCATTGCAATATTTGTGCATTAATGGGTTGTGCATCCATTAAAATTTTCTCTAGTCGTTTCTTCTGCTTTCGTTTGTGTGCAGATTGAACTTGTTCATTGGCACTCTGGTTTCCTTCATGTAATTTGGTGTAATGAAGCGATTGAAAACTCAGAGCCAACTTATTTGTGGCCTTTGACATCTGAACTGATGGCTTTGAAACAATATCAACCTCATCATCAACAAATCTCTGTCCGGTAATGATAGCTGCTGTTTCATCTGCCTTTGAGAGTCCTGATTTGATTTCATCCAGTTCTTCAATGGCATCATAGAGTTCATCTTCATCGACAGCTACAAGTGGTGTAGCTCCAAGCCATACTTTGATTGAGTATTCCTCGTTGTGTTCAGAGTATGTGTCCTTGATAAGCTTGTATACAGGCCTTGGAACAAACTGCTGTAAAAGAGCATCTGGAAGTATGGAGATCATTGCCTGTTTGAGCTGAGAAGTCAACTTTTGAAGAATGAAATGGCCACCTCTATTGGTCATAGTTCCATCTTGACACTGTGTCTCTATTTTTTCTTTTCCCCGATTGACATTAAATCTAAACTGTTCAAGCCATAATTTGTACATATGAGCTCTCTCAACAAATGGCATTGACAGAATCTGACCATTATCGAAAAAATCCTCTTTGATGGGTCCTTGATAACTGACATAATCCAGAACTGCTTTTGTCCAATAATCTATGAGTCGTTGGAATGTTTTTTCAGCTCGAGTACTAGCTGGTAGGTCTCTGAACTCAAGCCATGTTAAAATGGCTGATTGTCTACCCATTCTGAACTTCTTTAGAAGGCTTCTAAAGTGATTAAGTTCCATATGTGGCCTCAATACATCTTCATGAAGAACACCAAGCATGCTTGCCTCGATCCTACAGCCTACCTCCTCAATTGTGTTTTTGATAGCAGCCATTTGGTTTTTACATTCCCAATAATTGTCATGAACAATCCTTCTCATCTTTTTCTTTCTCCTTCTGTCACTGCGTAGTTCTTTCAGGTTGTAAGGTTCAAGAATTTTGCTACTGCTTCGCCCTCCGACTCGAATGATACCATATGGATGGAACTTGTGAATTCCTTCAAGGAACTGATCCAGGGCATGGTTTGTGTAACAGACAACAAGGATCACATTGTTGGACCCTGGATATGACCACTGAGCTTTGTTCTCCAAGAGAACTTCCATGATCTTCAGGCCCACATATGTCTTGCCTGTGCCTGGTGGGCCTTGAATAATGGCAAGTTCCTTCGTAAGAGCTATCCTCACTGCCTGTAGCTGAACCTCATTGAGATCATAAACCTTCAGTGGTGGCCATTTTCTTGTGTCTAGTAATGGTACTGATGAAAGATATGCCCTGTACATGTATCCTCCAAGAGCAGTCATATTGTATCGCACACTATGATCTATATATTCCGGTTCTTGGATGTTTGTTTCACAGTCAACAAGATACTGTTGGAATGGAAGGGAGTCTTCGATCTGTTGCAGTTTTGAAAGGACATGCCTATAGGCTTCAAAGTAAGCTGGGGTTTCAGCCATAATGAATGTGTCAGTTGGAGATATGTTGAGTACAATGTCAAAATCTTGCTCAAACCTAACCTCTATGTTCCCTTTCAATAAATCGTGAACAGTTCTGTTTGTTACAGTTGCAAAGAGCATCGTCTCAAAGTTGTCATTTGAGAGACAAACCAGAGAACCATAGATCAACCTTTTAGTTGACTGCCATCGAATTCTTCCAACACGAGAAACATCAAATGTCAACCGTGTGTCAACATCATCAGAGCAAATCGAGCGGATTATGTGTACATTGTGATACAACCATGTATCTGCAACCTTGTTTGGAACTTGGTCTAATTTGCATTGTTGGTACGCAAGTATACCTTTCCTCAATGGTTGGATGTAATCCTCCCGTAATAACCGGAACTGAACATCAAGGTAAGTGTCTAAGTTAGAGTAGGCTCCCTTGTCTTTGTTCTCCCTCAGGAATGGCTTCTCATCTGCCAGCAACTCCTGGGGGCTGGGAAACATCTCTAGATCCCTGTAGTTGTTCGGTGGTTCTTCATCCTCTCTTTCAAAACCATACTGCATGTGCTGAATACATGTCTCCTCCAAATCTGCTCTATATGCTTCAAGTTCAGGGTTATCATGGATCAAACCGCTATCATAGAACACTTCCCCAATAAATTGTAAAGCAACAATGCATTCCTCTGCATACCTTGGGAGTTTCTTCAGTATTTCCTGACATATAACGCACACATTGTCACAATTGTATTCAATCTCAGAGTATGTTCGGAGCTGTTCGATAAACCTTACAAGATGGGTTTCCAAAAAACCAGATGTGCATAGCATCTTCAGAACCTTTTTCAGGCCTTCTTTTTGATGCGTACGGGTTATTTTGACTACCACATCAAGGACAAGACAGACTTCATCCATGCGCATAAAAGAACTATGTAACATTGACTCAAAACCACTTTTATCACTTGCGAGTTCTAAAGTTATATTTTCAACATTGTCTTCATCTGTGAGATCTCTTAATCGTTCGAACCCAATCTGTCTTCTTTGTCCTCTTCCTCTTACCCTTCCTTGCCCTTGACGTCGGTATTCGTCCATGTCATAATAGCCTCTTGTTTGGTGTCTGTAAATATAGATACAAAACGTTTGATGGAGCCTATTGGGTTGTTGTGTGTGTACTATTTTAATATCAGTACATTACAGAAACGTGTTGTCATGGCCTATTGTCATCTATCTTAATAGTGATATTTGATAAACATTCCCATTACAACATTACTTTTGCATCATATCCATCACATGAAGATCCAAGCTAGAAAAGGTCTTCAGCAACCCATTCTTGCTGTAAAAGACAGCGATGCTTGTCGTAAAAGGTTACTAACAGGATCGGGTGGTCGGTCTCGCTGACTTGGTTGATGCATGTCATCATATCTCAATTGCGTGGATCAATGCTCATGACGTCAATCACTGGATTGCCCAGTCCAGACTCGATTATTTACAGACCGCCGCGGCGTTAAACAACAAACCAACCAACCAATCATGGTACATTTCAGGTGCAAGACAGATATTGCTGAATCTGGTTCCTTTGGATGATGTTTCTGCATTCACAGAAATTATGAATTCAGTCTTTGTAATGGTGAAAGGCCTCACCGACTCAATAGGATCATCCCTTTTAGATACATATTTTATGAGAACCAGATCTAAACTGCGACAGGACACATCTATGTTTCAAATGGTTGACTATGCAGATTTTGAGTTCAACACTGGAATAGTTATAAACAACAGGTATCCACATGTTTGATAATGTAGAATACCAATGTTTCTGACAGGAACCTTTTAGTCTATGTGAGATCTAAATGATAACCATCTGATAAAATAAACCATCTGTTCTTGCAAAAAACAGTTCTGAAACCATAGACTTGTAGTATATGCTTAATCCTAAATGCCCACATCATCAACACCAATTTCTTTTACTATTTGTATAAGCATATCAAAACATTTTTTGACAGACAGATCAGTTGATATTTTCAGTTTCAAAGAGGACTTAATCACTAAACAATTAAAATTTTGACAGTCTTCCACCATTTTTCAAAAGTATTACTTTCGTTTACCCTCAAACAATTCTAAATCAAAGTGACAAAAAACAGGTTCATAATCCTTTCAGACAACAAGCATCTTCATCTTTATCCCCCAACTAAAGGGAGAAATAACTGTACAAGTTTAGAATGAAGTTGAATTCCTTATACGGGGCAAGCTTCGATTGCAAAAGCTAATTCAATAATAATAATGTTCTAAGTCAAACTATGAAAGATATTTTGTACACCTTCAACAGTTTGCATGTATTAAGTACAACACACAACCAGGCAGCATGTTTCTGCAGGCTTCAACATGGCTAATTATTCTCTGTTGAAGAAAATGGTGTCAACTTCAGGGGATAATGCGCCTTTCTTTTCCACTGTTATACGGTGGGCAGCGGAGTTCAAGAGAGGAAGGGTGATCCAGGAGCTAAAAAGGTCTGAGCTGAAAAGGACTACCCAAGTTCCAAGATTTCTGACATGTTTCAGGTTCATCATTACTTATGAAAATGCGTATTGAGGCAGATCCAGCTCATTTTGTTGAAAAAGGAAGAGCCACTGGCTAAGCAACATTCAAAGCAGTGGAAACATCTAACATTCTGCCTTACCTTCTTCTTCCTCTTCGAGATCCTCCGCCTCCTTGACTCCACCCCCATGCACCTTTTTGATGTCTGTAACATCAAAAGATCGATGTGATTAAACCTTTCATTTGTATATGTTTAATGCGAATTATGTTTGCATTATGTGTTGGAACATTAGAACCAATCATTCCATTCCCTAGCAAATATATCTTCAAACTTCACCTGACCTTTTATGATTTCCTCCGTTTGTATTAAACACCAGTATGTCATTGTGTGAGATCTCTATACACATTTGCTATAACTCCTCCTGATGCCGTGTCTGTGTGGCTTTCTGAAGTAGTGTCTAAAGTTTTACTTAGAAAACACTATGTGAAAAGATGGACTTCCTCATCTATGTGAAATTAAGGGAAAAGGCATTTATGTTTGAAGTTGGCATCCCCATTTATATAAATAGTGCCCTATCTGCACTATCAGTCATCACGTCTCCCTCACACAGCTCTTCTTTGTCTCTGCTATTTCGATGCAATGATGATGATTTTCTTTTTCACAAGTGACACTGACCCACTCAAATGGTTGCTCTCCTGTTTTATAGGAGAGGGGCCGGATCGAAAATCGCTGCACGTTGATTGGTCCAAAACGAGGCGCACTGACTGGTCCATTCCAGTGCCTGGCCTGCACCGCGGTTTTCCAAAACGACCCTACCCTTGTGTTTCTTTTCCATGGGAGAGAAAGCACAACTCGGTTCGGGTGCTGTCTTCTGATTGGTCAGTGCTGTCTTCTGATTGGTCAAAAAGCCAACCCTCTGATAGGTCAGGTTTCGATCCTGTTTTGGGGAAGGTTTGTCTATAAATCAAGGAGATCAGACGTTCATCAGGCACTCATCACCATCATGATGAGCAAGCAGAATGATGCATACCGTTTGGAGAGGAAAGACATGACACGATCAAGACGGTTAAGAACCGCTAACCATACGTATCGTTTGACATTCAACCCAGACTTCTTGGAAACCGTACCACCAGACCGCAATCCCATACATCTACCGTCTTTATTTAACAGGGTGATCGATGACTTTATCAACAGATGTCAGGCCAGAAGGGGGATTATATTGGTCTAGGAAACCACCACCCCGCTTTGAACACTCCCATACGGATTCCCTTTCGTCGCTTTGAAGATCTTCATGGGAATTCATTATCTTCATCATCATCTTCATTAGTACACGTAGCAGATCCCGACAGGCTAGGATCAGGCAGTGGCCGTGTTGGACTTGAAGCATTTTTAAAATGTAAAAAGGGTGTTGTACGGATAAAGAATGAAGATCAATCCTGTTTGGCAAGGGCCCTTGTGGTGGCACAGCATTATGCCCAGAAGCCCAACCCTCTGACCCAAGAATGGGAAACCCAGAGAAAGAGAATTAAGAGAACAGATCGAGGTGGAGATGTTCAAGGCATACAGGCACAGGACTTGTTTCGGTGCCTTGTCATTCCTGAAGGTCCGTGTCGGGGCCTGGACGACCATGCACGTGTGGGACGCACCTTGGTCCACATCAATTACCAACTGAAAGTCTACAGTCAAGAGGTGGACCAGAGATTGATGTACAAGTGTGATGAGGCTCCACCCAATGCCACCGTGTTACATTTATTCCATCATGATCACCACTACGATGTGATCACTTCCATTCCAGCTTTTTATGCTTCTAAACATTACTGCGAACTCTGCAACCACCGTTACGATCATCCCGAAAAACATCCCTGCACCAAGCAATACCACTGCCACCATTGCCTCCACTCCAGCTATTGCGGGCCCAAGGAAGAGCACGGGATTCCTTGCTTGACATGTCAAACGCTGGTTCCCAAATCAACAGTGTTACACCCAACATCTTCACTCAACGTCAGAGGGAAAACCCAGTGCCTGTCAATCGATTCACAGGTGCCTGACCTGTTTTCAGTTGGTTTGCGTCTTGGAGATCCCCAAGGCTCATCACGAGTGCTCAGGTGAAAAACGTCACTGCTTAGTGTGTTGAGAAGCCATGACCCCAGACCATCGCTGTTACATGACTCCCCTCCGTGAAGCCCACGGTGAAGAGGAGGGCTAGGAAGAAGGAGAGGAAGAGGAGGAGGAGGGGGAAGAGGAAGAAGGCTACAGCCCAAACCGACAAGACAACATCAAATACGTCTTTTATGATTTTGAATGCATGCAAGACACGGGGGAGCACGGGGGAGCACATCCCACCTGGCCGAAAAACCCAAGAAGAAGAAGAACCAAGAGGAGGAGGAGGGCAGCACATGCAAAAGAAAACAGGATGGAACCCTCTAAACTCATTTACCAACAAAACGTCAGTGACGTCCATCACCCCAGGAGGAGGAGGTGGAGGGGAAGGGAGAGGATGCAATTGAGGTTGATGTGCCCACCCTGTTGGAGTAGGAGGAGAAGGAGACGAAGAAGACAAAGACGAAGAAGAAGAACACCACCATCAAGAAGGAGGAGCTCATTTATGTGATAGCACATAACCTATGATCTACACTTGATCCTGAAGGGTCTGTACCCACATCTGGTGAAACTCCCCACCAAGATTCGGAATGGACAACAGATTAAACAGGTGACCCTGGGATGATTGTGTTTCGTGGAACAGTTTGAATTTCATACCGTACCCGCTGAAAGCATTTCTAAAGACCTTTGGACTGAATGAACTGAAGAAAGGGTATTTTCCACACTTTTTCAATACCGAAGCCAACCAGACCTACAGAGGTCCCTATCCACCAGCCGTCATGTACGATCCCAATGGCATTTCTCCCACGGAATGCACAGCCTTCCTCCTCTTAGTCTACTGTCAGAGTGATGTCGACATTTTGAGACCTGGATGCGCTGACTTCCAACAGAACGCCATCAGGATGGTTCGCATGGATCCCTTTGTAGAGGTGATGACAGCCGCTGCGTTCTGAAAACACGATCTGAAACCCGATACCATAGCCATTCTTCCACCTCAAGGCTACCAACCCAAGAGAAACTATTCCCAGGCCTGTATGAACTGGTTAAGATATCTCATGGAGACTGACCCCGATCTGCACCTCCAGCACACCAGGAATGGAGGTGAAAAAGAGTTCACGTGTGGAGAGGGTAAACATCGGTCGGTACATTGTGGATGGCTACGATCCAGCGGCAAGCACTATCTACAAATTCCTGGGCTGTTTCTGGCATGGGTGTCAGAAATGTCACAAGACCAAATGTGGAGAACCTCATCCCGTCCTGGGCATGTCCATGGGAGCACGGTATAACGACACCCACTACCGCCTGAGTCTCTTGAACCCATGACCCTGAGGTGAAACGGGTCGTCACCCTGTGGAAATGCGAGTTTAAAAAAAGGCAACAGGAGGACTCTGCTTTGCGTGCTTCCTTGCAGGGACACCACTGTATCCACTTACCTGGTCCGCTCAACCCTCACGACGCCTTCTATGGAAGACGAACCAGTGCCACTCGATTATGCTACGAAGCCCAAGAAGGTGAAACCATCAAATATATCGATACCTGTTCACTTTATCCTTACATTTGTAAGACCGGAGCGCTTCCAACGGGACACCCGACCCTTCTCCATCAACCACCTGTGGACACGTTGTTTGAGCTGAAAGGACTTATCCAATGTCGTGTCCTACCCCCGAAACGATTCTACCATCTGCTACTACCCTACAGATCGGGTGGTAAACTGCTCTGTCCTTTGTACTACACGTGTGCCAATACCCGGTCAGACTCACCCTGACGAAGCACACGGACGAAGAGAGGTCTTGGGTATTCACGTACGCCACCGTAGAACTCCATGAAGCCATGAAGAAGAATGGCTACAAGGTGCTTCAGATCTTTGACGTTTGGCATTTCGACACCTCATTTCAAGGAGAAGCTCGAAGCCAGCGGATACCCCGAGGGATGTACCGATCACGACGCTTACATCCAGGAGATCTATGACAAAGAAAGCATTCGGTTGGACAAGGACTGCATCGAGAAGAACTCAGGACTTTGCACTTTTGCCAAGCTCTTTCTTAATTCGCTCTGGGGAATGTTCGGACAAAAGTTAGACTATAGTCAGAACGTCTATATGAACGATCCTGCGCAGTACTTTGTCTTGTGGAGAGATGAACGAAATACCATCGAGGACGTCACCGTCGTCAACAAACACATGGTGGAAGTGACCTATACCCACAAGGAAGAATTCCAAACCCCTCATTCTCATTTCAATGTCGCCATAGCTGCTTGGGTCACCGCACAAGCACCTGTCAAGTTGTACGAGACCCTTGTCCTGGTGGGTCGCAGGGTCTTAAACTTTGACACGGACAGCATCATTTACATTCATCAACCCCACGACACGAATCGAGAGCTGGGCCATTCGTTGGGTGAGATTACAGACGAACTGGACTATGAAAAGTATGGCTATGAGTTAATGAACCCCAGACCCGAAGGAACGAGCAGGGTTCACCTTGAATTACAGAAACCAACACCTCAAATTTGACACCATGAAAGGACTGATACTGGGACAATGGCCTGGAAAGGAGGGAAAGAAAATCAGCTTGGATTACCCTCATCAGATCATTCGTAAAGGACCTCGGCACGGGAATGCGCCCTGTAGACACACTCCCCTTTGGGTACAGAGACGACGAGATCATTTTTCTTATTTCATACCATTGGGGTGTCACAACGGATCGAATTGACATGGATACCTACAGAAAAAAACGGATCGAAATCTGACCAATCACAAGGCTGGGTTTTTGACCAATCAGAGACCGCCTTTGCCCTGAGCGACCTTCTGATTGGTCGAAACTAGGTTGTGCTTTCTCTCTCATGCTACAAGCCTGACCCTATGGAAAAGTAACACAAAGGTTGGTCCGTTTCGAAAACCGAAGTGCAGACGAGGCACCGGAACGAACCAATCGGGGCGCTGCGTGTTGTACCAATCAGAAAGCAAGGTGCCAGTCCCTTTCCTATAAAACAAGAGCGAACTCACATACACTGCATTCTATGATATCAACCATGTCGTCTAGATACAACTGTATGAAGTGCCAGACCGACAGTCACAGTTACCCGTTCTGCCCTGAAGTGACATGTAC